TGCAAATAAAATTAATTTATTTATTTTCTGCCGAGTAAAAATGATTATTTTGGCAGGTGACAAAATTTTTTGCGACGACATTAATGTGTGTCGTCGCAATAAGTGATTTTGTATTCCCTCAATAAAATAACAGGCGGGAAAATTAGGCGGGTCCCTAAAAATTATTTGTGACGACATTATCGGTGTCGTTGCAAATAATAATTTGAGAACCTTCCTTCTAAACCCTAAATAATTTAGTTATATTTGTGACAACATGTGTCATCACTGTCGTCACAAATAATTATAAGTTATATTTGCGATGACTAGTCGTCGCAAAAAACTCTGTTATATGCCCACGAGCAGAGCATTCTCCTCCATTTTTTCTGATCGGCTTCTCTCTCTCTCTCTCTCTCTTGGCTTCTAACCGGTTTTCTGCCCAAACTCTAAAACGCTCATTGTATTCTCTTCAAAATCAACAATATTATAAGTTTTATTTGTTTTTTCATCCAAAAAAGCCCAAAATCTCGCTGTCAAAGTCCGCCGCTGCCTCCCTTTGTCCCTATTTATCTTGCCGTTTTCAGCCACCGCTTGAGTGGGTTTGAATTTTGTAAGTTTTTACATAGTTATTGTATTTTTTTAGTTTAAAATGTATGAGTTTTTTTGCTATTTGAATTGTGTATAATTATGGATTATAAATTTTGAAGTTTGATTTATAGATTTTAGAATTAGTATATAATTTGAAATTTGGATTATAGATTGAATTTTAGATTATGAATTTTGATATTATTGAAATTTGATATTGAGATTGTTGAAATTATAAGATTATAATTTGATTTAGGTTGACATTAAAAGTTTTGATAATTGTTCTAGGTGGCACATCTTGCAATTATGGTGTGCTGAAATCTTTTAAAAGCTTTTTTTTTGTAAGTTTTAATTTTTAGATAATAAGAAAAATATGTTGTTATGATGCCGAAATTTTATTAAAACCTATTAATTTTAAGAATTTAATTAATAAGAATTAATTATATTAATAGAAAGAAAATTAAAAATTAATTACAAACATTATTAATTTTAACAATAATAAAATAACTTGTTCATAAAATTTGATAAAACTTTACGACACAACGTCTCGATGTCTGGCCCAGTAGCTACATGATAAAACTTTACAACATACTATACTATTTTTATTTATTTTTATTTCATTTAACTTTGCAGGCTCAAATGGAGGTGGAAAGAACCACGCAGATGACATAGTCTACTGGGGAAGGTTCATCCACGGTGATCAATAAGGAGGGGATTATGTCCCAAGTCTTGGACAAGCGCAAAGGACACACTAAGGGAGGGGGACCGACACTGCCACGGAGGAATTGTTTAAGCACTTTCACCTCATCATCTGATTCGCAATTAGACGGGTCATCTTTGGTTAATTTGCCCCAGCATGTCCAAAACTGGCTGAACAACCTCTACATCGAGCAATGCAACATGTTCGACAACCAGCAGTTAATGATGGCAGTCATGCGCTCAATGAATCCCAACATCAACTTCTTGCCAGTTAACCGTCACCAACCGTTGGTTCCTCCGCCGCCTGAGCGAAACGAAGAAGACGAGAATGAGGAAGACGATGCTGTTAATTTGGGAGATTAAAATATCTGTTTTTATTTTTCTTATTATCAATACTTTGTAATATTTATTGATTAATTTACTTTTTAAAACTTATTTTATTATTGTGTTGACTATTTTATATCAATCATTTATTAACAAATATCAATTTTATTTCTTTATTTTATTATTAAATTTTCTTCTAATTTATATATTTAATAATTAATATTATTAGGAAAGTATGGTAAAAAAATAATTTTTGCGACGACATATCTAAAATGGCATCGTAAATAGTCTACATTACTAGCGACGACACTTTAGATTTGTCGCCGTAAAATGTTTCGTGACAAATGTCGTCACAAATAATTTAAGACACGTCATCATCAACGACATATTCGACGGAACATTCGTGACGATTGTCATCGCTAATATATTTGCGACGACATTTCAAAACTATGTCATCGTAAATAAATTATTTGCGTTAGATTTTTTGCGACGACATGTCGTATAAAGTACTTGCGACGACAAATCAGTTATTTGTGACGACACGGCGTTGCTGAGTTTTTTTTTTTTGTAGTGTCATAATAAGTCATTATGAAGGGAAGTATGGTGGAAATTTTAGATAGATATTAATAACTTTTTTTTTTTTGAGCAAGATATCAATACGTTCATATCAGAATAATTATGAAAATCAGACATTATATAATATATTAGTAAAGTTTTGTTTTTCTTCTGTACCTATGTCAAATATGAATGGTTATTTTTTTAATCAATACTAGATGGATTTCATGTATTGATTAAAAGTAATGCTATACATTACAATTGGTGATTATGACTACACATTTCAGCTGATTATAAATTTATATATCAACATTGAGACCCACGGCTCCAACACAACCCACTAATTATGACATATGGTCACACACACTATACAATTTTATATATCAATCTTTAACGGATTAAAATAATAATACATCGTTTAATAAACTAATAATAACAACCAACATTTTTCATTGAATAATTATAATATTCATTCTCGTGATCATGGAACACAAATTAGCCAGCCCTAACTTTCTTTTTCATTCCCACCGGATAAGTATAGATCCTAATATATTCTTCTTTCTGATGCGATTTGTTATTGTTATCGTTTTTTTTTTTTTTTTTTTTTTCCTTTTGAAAGTTTAGTATTTTCATAACGAATAAAATACATGTATCTGCTTAGATTTCATGCTATAGTGTTAAAGAGTTTGGTTTACACAAATTTCAATATGGTTGTGGTTACATGCTTAGGTTTATTGTTGTTATTTGTTTTTGTGTAGTTAGTTGTCAGATCTACAAATTTTGAGTGCTAAATATGAAGATACGAAGATTTTAGGTGGACGGATTTTGATATCGGCAACATATTTATTATCATATCAATTAAAAAAAAAAAAAAAAAAAAAAACCTAAACTAGAACTGAAGGGTAACTTAAAATACCTAAATATGATTTGCTGTGGAACTTGAATTTATCTTTGTAATGTCAATAAGAGTGTACGCGAAAATTCTGCATATTTATTCTTTACTAGCAACAATAGTGTGCCTATTTTATATTTATTTTTTATAATATAATGTTGTATTGATCATGACATATACCAGATTATTTGTTATATTGATCATGGTATATACTAGATTTACAATTGCAATATTTAGATGGTGAAATCACTATCTCTATTAAATAAAAAAACCAATTATGAAACACAAATCAATTAACCAATAACAATATTATAACATCAACAAATAGAAAGTGAATCTTATAATACAAGACTCACAAATAGGGCCCATATTTTTCATCATGAAATCATCAATTAAATGAATCATCAAAAGAAAAGATAAAAAGAGAGAGAGAAACACTGTTGTAAGAATTATGGACGAAAATTTCGCTGAAATTTCTGAAATTTTGAAAATTTGAGGGTCTTTAAATTTTGTTCCACTATAATATCGACATCGGCAAAATATTAGTAGAAATGTCAATATTGGTTTGCACATAAAGTAATTGGGACAGAATATCAGGAAATTATGGGGAAATTTCTATGAAAATTTTGTGATTTCAGAAACATAAATTTTAAAGGTTTTTTTTTATTTGCTTTATAATATATGTTTTCTTGCATTATTTCTTTTGTCATCTAGCAAGGAGAGAGCGAGGAATATCAAGAATGCAAACATCTAATGACAAAATTGATGAATTTAGGTTCCAATTATTGCAGCTCTTTCATGAGACTCCTAACATTCATTATCCATGTAATCATAATTTTAGAAACTATGATAGATATTGAATTTTCAATTATCCTTATCCGAACATACCACCATCATCTCAGACAAACGATTGAGAGAATTCACAATTTCTAAAACATAAAAATATAGTGGGGAAGGAACAACAAATCTTCATGTGGCACGTTCATAATTTTGTTCGACATTATTCAAATAACATGTCATAATACCAATATTGTTTGAATCAAGATGGGGATCTCGACCACGTTTGAGTCTCATAGGACTTCTTTTTGGTATTAAGAAATGTAACATGTATGATTTTTTTTTATGTAAAACTTATTTATTTATGTATCTTTTTAATGTTGATGCTATCTGAAAGTATTATATGTTCTAATGTAAATTTTCTTCATTTCCATAAAATTTTCTAATAATTCCATCGATATCAATATTTTTTCTGACATTTCTATAGAATTGGAGTACCGATATTTTTACCAATACTGATATTTTTATTCTTGGATAGAACAGAACACATAGAGCGTGTTTAATATCAATTTTGTTTTCATTTTTCACGTTTTCTGAGAAAAAAGTAGAGATTGAAGAGGAAAACACGTTTGGAGGAAAAAAGGTGAAAAAATCGAAAACAAAAACGGTTTTCAGTTTAGTGTAAAATGACTTAAAAACTGAAAATGAATTTAAGTCGTTTTTCATTTTCAGTTTTGGAGGGATGCCTTTTTTTTGGGTAAGTGGGTGTGAGCTTAAATGAATTAATAAAGTGCTCTTAAATTAAAAATAAAAATTATATAACTAAACGGAGTTTCAATTTTTTCTTATACTAAAAATAATCTCTTAATAAAACTACTAAATACATTTTTAAAAATAATTTTTATCTAAGATTAAAAATGTTTTAATTTTTAATTTTATACAAAAAAATAAAATCATTCTAAAATCAATTCTAAACTTATTATAATCACTTTCATCAAAGATCAAAGAGAAAAAAATGAGGGACATCGTAATCATAGGAATTGCCCTACGAGGACACGTGGCGGACCCCCGCACCATCTATACTTAATGTCCTATCATACATCGTCCTCAGCTAAATGCTACCCCCTCAGTCTTTCTTTCTTTTAGCCTTCTTCCCCTTCCCACTTTAATCATTTCACACGTGCTCCGTTCCCTTTCCACGCCGGAAAAACCTCTCTCTCTCTAAAACTCCCAAAAAACAAAACCCCGTTTGCCAAAAAAAGCAACGGTCCTTGGGATTCTTCTTGGAACCAAAATCCAAACCCTAGAGAGAGAGAGAGAGAGAGAGAGAGAGAGAGAGAGAGAGATTCAACGTTTTGTTGTCCCTTCGTTTTCTCACCGGCCAAACACTCTTCTAACAAGACCGCCGAGATTTGTCGTCTTTCAATTCAAATTGAAAAAATTCGAAACTTTTTCGAATGACCAGATTGATCTGAAGGGGGGGAAAAGGGATTGAAATGGGGGCGGTGACGTCATCAATGGCGGCGAAGTTCGCGTTTTTTCCGCCGAGCCCGCCGTCGTACGGATTGGAGGAGGAGGAGACCGGGAAGCTGAGGATGACCGGGGTGGCTACCAAGGAAAACGTCGACGTTTTGAAGCTCTTGACCAAGCGAGGAAACAACGTCGTTGCGGTGCATATTAAGAACCCGTTGGCGTCGCTTACCTTGCTATATTCGCACGGCAACGCCGCTGATCTGGGTCAGATGTACGAGTTGTTTAGTGAGCTGAGTCTTCATCTCCGAGTCAACTTGTTGGGGTTAGTTTCCAAATTTTTTTTAGATTCAATATGAATCTTATTATGTTTGTTTTGTATGCGAAAAGTATTGAAATTTGTGTCGTTTTTCTGTTCTCTGTAGATATGATTATTCGGGATATGGACAGTCTTCTGGGAAGGTACGTGATTTGGATTTGGATGCTTCGGAGATGGAGTTGGAATATATATATATATATATATATATATATATATAGAGAGAGAGAGAGAGAGAGAGAGAGAGAGAGAGAGAGAGAGAAATTTATTAACTTTTTGTTTTTGTTATGATCATTTATTTATTTAATAATTATCACGATCATTCATTTGTTTGATCAAATTGTGAAAAAAGGTGACTTTTGGAGTTGGGATTTTAATTCTTTTATGTTCCTTGCGAGGAACCTAAAAGAATCATAAACAGTGAGATTCAAACTTACAATTGTGATCGTTGTGAGTATTAGCCACTTGGTTACTAAAAATGAATCTGAGATTGTTGAAGAGAGTTGAACTAACATTTTTCCTTTTTGGCCAGCCTAGTGAACAGAACACTTATGCCGATATTGAAGCTGCGTATAGATGCCTTGTGGAGAGGTATGGGGCAAAGGAGGAGGATATTATCTTATATGGGCAATCAGTTGGTAGTGGACCCACTCTAGATTTGGCTACTAGATTACCAAGATTGAGGGCTCTGGTTCTCCACAGTCCCATCATGTCTGGCCTCCGAGTCATGTATCCCGTGAAACGGACATATTGGTTTGACATTTATAAGGTTTTCTTCTTTAATTGTTAAGTTGTAGATTTCTGATATTCTATTCTACAGAATATTGGAAAAACTATGTATTGATGATTGTTTTTGTGTATGTGGTGCAGAACATTGACAAAATACCCTTTGTTAATTGTCCGGTTCTGGTGATTCACGTAAGCACCCTACTCATTAATCTAGTTTATATCGGATTTGTTTCCCTTTTAAGGGAAGCTTAAGTGACATGTTTGTGAATACAAAATCACATTCTGGAGTGCTAGTTTGATGTTAACATAATGGTTAAATTGGCAGTTGCAAGACATGATAGATGCATGGACAACACTTACTTCCATTTGTCTCTGTTTTGCTTTTACCGGCACTTGCATTGTCTGCTTTCTTCTGCTTTAATTGTAGCCTTTGTGCAAAACCTTTACGCGCTTCATTTCCTTTTGAAGGTGCATTTAATTATCTGTTTACACCGTTATCTATTTTTGACTATTTTTGACTGTCAGATGATTTTGTGAGCAAAAGCAGCTTTCCAATTTGGTTTATAGTTATAGTGGGACACTACAAGTGCACCGTTTAGGAATCAAACATTTTTAAGTTTCTTATTATACGAAGTTGTTATTATAAAGGTAACGTTTGGATACCCTGGGTTATTGCCAAATTTCACAATGTTAGCCACTTTTTAATCGTTGCCTGAATGCCTGGCCCATTCCGAAAAGTCAACTTTTCAATCGTTGCTTGAATGCCTGGCCCATTCCGAAAAGTCATTTTATCCTACAGTTTATATTTTGGTTGGAGGTTTTATGGATGTTTATGAAGTTTCCCAGAATCAAATTTTCTAATGGCGGAAGACTCATGGGTGATACTTTCGTCCGAGAATGTTAAGTTGATGTGGGCCCTTTGAACTGATTGGCCCTGCTCAGATTTGGTGTTGAGAATGAACGTAGGTAGTATAAGTTGAAGTGGGTATTAAAGAAGAAAGTGATTGAAGTTTTTGTTTGTTCAATTTGCATTTAAGACAACCTCTTAAAATAATGCTTCTAATATAAATGTTAATTCCTGTACTACAGTCTGGCACTTGCCAGCCCACAAAGTAATTGTTCAATTTGTTACTTTATACTGTGGATAGCATATAAACCAACTTTTCAGAAGTATATTTACCTGTCCAGCTTTTTGCTTTGTGTTTGGCTGTTGGCAGGGAACTGCTGATGATGTGGTGGATTGGTCCCATGGCAAGCAACTTTGGGAGCTCTGTAAGGAGAAGTATGAACCATTATGGGTTAAAGGAGGAAATCATTGTGACTTGGAGCTTTACCCACAGTACATAAAGCATCTCAAGAAGTTCATATCGGCCATTGAGAAATATCCGCAACTGAGAACTGGATCTGGGAAAATTACAGAACCATCAGAACTCCCCCGAAACAGCACAGATGTTAGAGAGAAATCTAGATCCAGCACAGATCGGAGAGACAAGTCTAGGCCAAGTATTGAACAAAGAGAGAAGCCTAGAATAAGCATGGACCGCAGAGAGAAGTCGACAGCCAGCACCGATAAGAGAGAGAGATCAAGAAAGAGAGTGGACCGTCCTGACAAAGCAAATAACAACTTAGACCCACCGGAGAGAGCGAGGAACAGCATTGACCGGTTAGCAATAAAACTGAATAGTAGCTTTTCTCCGTTTATGTTTCCCCTTTGTGAAATATGCATAATCTTGGCCGATGTTCCATTTATCTAATATCGCAACCTGGTTTTCCTGAATGTTCATTTATGTTTGGCAGGTTTGGTTCCATGGTGAGATCAGTTGGATTATGCAATATAGACTGTTTCAAGCCAACAGCAACTGCTGTTTGAAGAAAGACAAGAGACCAGTTCGCATTACGGTGTACTTTAATTTATATGATTGGTTATTGTGGCCGTGGGAAAATGCCATGTTTTCATTTTCTATACGGGGGGAAAAAAGAAAGGAAATTTAATTATCAAAGCAAAATTGTGCATCACAATTTGGCATTTTCCAACTTAATAAATCTAACCCTGCTCCGCTCTCTTCTCAAATGTGCATACCCCAAGTTATTAGTGAACTCCTACTCCGTTTATCTGTTGTTTGTTTGTTTGTTTGTTTTTTTGTGTATTATTATTATTATTTCACTTGCCTGTTTCAATGCTTCTGTGATTATCTATCTGCAGTTGGATATTTAGACAAGGACGGTAAGAACAATGGAAGAAAGAAAATAAGAAGGAAACTAAATGGAAAATAACAAAAGGAAAACGACAAGAAGAAAGACAACAAACAGGAACAATGCCAACGACAGCAATATAGAAAACGGAAGTATAAATCAGAAATGACGAAAACAAGGAAACAACAATATTGAATGAAACGACAGAAGTGTGACAATATGACAAATGAGAAATTGACACGACGACAAAAGGGCAACAACAATAGTAAATGAAACAACAAGGAGCGTGAAGCAATAACAAGAAGAAAACGGCAAAAAGGAAGCAACCAAAAAACGACAGTAAAAAGAATGAAACGGTATAAACAAAACCGAAGAAAAAATAAAAGACGTCAATGATAAATGAACAAACGGCATCTAAATGAACAAACGACATCTAAATGGACAAAGGACATCTAAATGAACAAACGACATCATGTGGAAATGACAACAATTCAAAGAGAAAACGACGCGGAAAAGGAAGACGATAAAGCTAAACAAAGAAAAATGAAAAAACGAAAATAATGAAAGAAGAAACGACAACGTATAAATTAATAAACGACAACGTTTTAGATAGCAATAAATGCTCTAATGTTAATTGTCTTTGAGATTTTTTTTAAAAAAAATAATAGAAACAATTGTTTGATTGTTTAATAAGAGAAAAATTATGCAATTTTTTTTTTTTTTTTTTCAAATGTACGCTTATTAAAGTGAGATTACCAAGTTTTAAGTTGTATAAATGAATCCAAACAACTATTTATTCCTCATTCCTTTTCTCCAACCCTCTTCTTCCACGCTCTCTCCTTCCGATATCGACGGTGTTGGCGTGAGAAAATATGTAAAGAAAGAAAAAAAGAAACATGAGATGAAAAAGAAAGCAGTTAAATTCATGTGGGAAATTAAGGACTTGTTCACTTCGCGGATTCGAGTTTTCAATTCGAGTTGAGATATGACATTTTCTGAAAGCTTTTTCACTGTAACAGAAAAAGTTAGATGTGACATTTTCTGAGAGTTTTTTACTGTAAAAATTGAAAATTGAAAATTTAAATCAGTGAAATGAACGAGGCCCAAATGTTTTGTTCTCGAAGTAGTTACTAATAATACTAAGGGAAAAATTTTCAAAAATTTTTCAAAATTGATAGGATTTTTCATAATTTCTAACTATATGAAAGTATGTCTAAAGAAAAAAAAAAAGAAAAAAAAGAAGCAAATATAGGAGAGAACTGTTTAATTGAGCTCCCTAATCAGAGCTCATTAATCCACGCCAATAGTAGGGGGAGCCGGCGCACAGAGAGTGTTTACTAATTATCCGAAATTGCACTCAGGCCCCAAAAGATTCTAAAATTTCATAACTGCCTCATTTCGACCTAAAATCGCAGACTCACCCCATTTCGAGACCCAGAAGAGAAAATCCCAACGGAAAGGCCCTAAGGAAAGGTGGACAAGGTTTAAGGAGGGTTTTAAGGCGGCGACTTCACAGAGTCCCTATTTCACCTTCTCTCTCTTCTCTTTCTCTCTCATGTATCATCTTCTTCGTCGGAGTCTCTCTGAATTTGATCGCACTATCTTCGAGTCCGCCATTGAATTTCTCTCAGATTTGACGTCAATTTAATGTCCATCGGTAAACCCTCTCTAATCCCCGCAAATTTCAGCGAAGGAATTGGCCATTTCCGACCATCCGAGAGCAAAGCCCTAATCTTCCCCGCGGAACCATCGCCAATGTGGAGAAACTGCGCCAAGCAAGCCTTCTGGAGAACCCGCTGTTGTCGTCTCAGTTCTCAGTCTTCTTCTCCCGCTTCCCGGCACTTTCTCGAGAAATCGCCGGAACCGAATTTCCCTAACAAGCTCAAGTCTCGGCCTTTCGAGCTGGTTCCGGGCTTAACTCGTGGAGAAGTATCTGTGAGAAGTTCTGATTTTGGGAATTTGAGGAATCCGAGTGGGTTTAGCGTGTTTTGCCCCAGGGGATTTTCGAGCGTGGCCGAGGCGGTCTCGTCTCCGACGGATGTCGAGGAAGACGTCTTGGTGGATGAGGACTTTCAGGAGCTGATGCAGGATGTGGGGAAAGAGGAGAAAAGGCGGGTCCGGCATTGGCAGCAGAGGAGGCTGGCGGTTGCGAGAGGAATGGGGCAGAGTAGGTACGAGTTTCTGAAGAAGAGGCAGGTGAAGATCGAGACGGAAGCGTGGGAGAAGGCGGCGGCGGAGTACAGGGAGCTTTTGATGGATATGTGCTCGAAGAAGCTGGCGCCGAATCTGCCCTACATGAAGTCGTTGTTCCTCGGTTGGTTCGAGCCGCTGAAGAAGGCCATTGAGCAGGAGCAGGAGCTGTACCGGGAGGGAAAGAAGAGGACGATGTGCTCGCCGTTCTTTGCTCAGTTGTCGCCGGAGATGATGGCGGTCATCACGATGCATAAGTTGACGGGGCTGCTGATGTCGAGAGACGAGTATGGCATTGCCCGGGTTGTTCAAGCTTCTCTTTTGATTGGAGATGCCATTGAACAGGAGGTTTAAACTTGGCTTTGCTCGTTTTCTTCATTGTCATTCTGTTTTGAGCCTTAATATTTGGTTGGATAATGGACAAGAAGTTTCCTCTTCCATTGTAGTTCATAATATGTCCTTTTTTTTTTTTTTAACAAGCCTTTTGTTCTTCTTTCTGGAATACTAGTTTTCTCACGGTAGTGCCAACACAATGAATATTTCTCACACCCAGTTACTCTGTTGGGCATGATAATATACTTGTGAACTTGGTTCACTCAAATTATGAATTTTCCTTTACTTCAGAGCTTGATAAGTTTGGTTTTCGATGCAGAATAAAGGACATGTCAAGGCACTTTTGAATCTTACCTCCTCTTTCTAAGATTGGAAGTGTCATCCTCATAGCTATTATTGTTCATAACGCTATCACTGCTTTTTGGACGAGCAGGTTAAAATACAAAGATTCTTGGAAAAGTCCCAAAATAAAAAAGTTGGTAAAGATGGGGAAAATAGAGGAGAGCCTGGCTCCAAGGTAGAAGAGAAGTTGAAGAAAAGAGTCACCAAATTGATGAAACAAAAAAAACTGCGGGCATTGAGACAGACAATGAACGAATGGGATGGTTCGAAACCCTGGAGCCAAAGCATCAAGGCTAAGGTTTGTGTTGTCCTTGTGATTTCTGGTGAAAGGTTAATAGTTACTGATTTACATTCTTTACGCGACGTCACACTTTCTCTTATACTTTTCAGGTTGGAAGTCGTCTGATTGAATTGTTGATTCAAACAGCTTACATACAACCTCCTGTTGATCAGTTTTCTGATGATCCGCCTGAAATACGACCAGCATTTGTACACACACTTAAGACTTTGACGAAAGATCCAAAGTAAGATAAATTTGGATTGGTGATTGATTTACGTTTTCCTGGCATCAATTTGACTAGTGCTTCTAAAATTTTTCCTTTCACAGAAAAACTGGCAAAAAATTTGGTTTCATTCAGTGTGATCCTCTAGTTGTCAAAGGCCTTGAGAAATCTGTAAGTGAATCCCCAGTATTTTCCTTTCCATTACTGTTGAGACAATTGAAGTTGCATGTTGACAGCTGCCACTTATTCCATTGTTTGAGCTCTTCACGGTCTGGATGCTTGGGGAATAAAATTATTATATTTCCTTGGAATTGATTGAGAGCTATCATTTTTTTTCTCAATGCTTGGGGAATAAAATTATTCATGCTCTTTTTTTTTTTTTTTTTTTTTGGAAAAGGAACACATCTTGTGCTTTTCTAGAATAGTTCTCCTATTCATATTTGTTTGTTTGTTTATATATATATATATATATTATATCTGTGTATGTGTGTGTTCCTCTAGTTTCCTTCTTGTTCTTCTCGTTATTTACTTCTCTTTTGTATGATGGTTTACTAACTGCCCTTCCCTCTCTCATTGCTCAAATTTTAATGAATGCCTTTAATTTTAACAGGCAAACCACGTGGTGATTCCTTACATGCCTATGTTGGTACCCCCAATCAAGTGGAAAGGGTATGTTAAAAGTTTTGTGCTACTGATGCTGCATGTATTTATTTATTTGTTTTGTTTGATCAGGGATCAGGATATAGATTAGGGGTTCCGACAATGCTTTGAATTTGATAGTATGGACTATGGAGTTTCTTTTGCGTTTATAAAAAATTTTATTTACAGAAAAGTGAATTTAGGTTACTTCTTGACCATCATTTAGTTTGAAAATTTCTCCTAGGTATGAAGACGTGAAAATGGTGAACCTCATTGAAATAGAAATAGACTAGGTGCCTGTTTCAGTACTTTCAATTGTTTCGTCTAAGATATCATGGGAGTTGCAATCATAGATGCAACTTATTAAAGCATTCACATTCAAAGAGTGATTGTCAACGACTCAGTTCCATGTGTGGTGTTGTGGGCCAATCAGCAGAGAAGATTATTTTTAAAAAAAAAGAAAAGGCTTTTCAAAACTTATGCTTAAAAATTTGCAGAAACAAAGCTTCATATTTTCTTCCTTTTGATTCTTCATAAACTTTTTTCTTTCTTTGGTGGCTTGATGATTCTTTTCTTTTTTCCCAGCTATGACAAAGGAGGGCACTTTTTCCTACCATCCTATCTCATGCGTACTCACGGAGTAAGACAACAGCGTGAAGCTGTCAAAAAGGCCCCAAGAGAGCAACTGGAACCAGTTTTTGAGGTTTGTAGATGCAAGTGTTGCATGACTTTTTCCCTTTATGAGAACCCTGCACGAAACTAAGTATTGATGAAGAATTATTGAAGACTTGTGCTAAACTTTTGACGTTCATTGGGGTCTTACTTGCTAGGCCTTGGACACTCTTGGGCATACCAAATGGAGGATTAATAAGAGGGTTCTCGATGTTGTAGAGAGAATATGGGCTGGTGGAGGCCGTCTTGGTGATTTGGTAGATCGTGATGATGTGAGCTTCTCTATGTTCTCTCTCTTCTGTTACTCAAGTTATAACGCACTTTAGAAATGAATGTGTATCCCAATATATCCGCTTAACTTACAAACTATTGATTTGGAACTCTCCTTGTTTAACTTTTTTCGTTACAGGTTCCTTTACCAGAGAAACCAGATACTGAAGATGAAGCACTGCTAAAGAAATGGAAATGGGAAGTTAGGTCTGTGAGGAAAGAGACTAGAGAGAGACATTCTCAGCGGTGTGACACAGAACTTAAACTGTCGGTAAGAGCTATTTCACTTCATATACAGAACTGAAATATGCGTAAAAAGAATTGGTGGCAACCCTTTTTATTTTGGAGCAGGTGGCAAGGAAAATGAAGGACGAAGAAGGTTTCTACTATCCTCACAATGTTGACTTTCGAGGCCGTGCATACCCTATGCATCCACACTTAAATCATCTTGGTTCAGATTTGTGCCGGGGTATTTTGGAGTTTGCAGAGGGACGTCCTCTGGGAAAATCAGGCTTGCGTTGGCTGAAAATTCACCTGGCTAATTTATATGCTGGTGGTGTGGACAAATTATCTCATGAGGGACGAATAGCATTTGTTGAGAATCACTTGGATGAAATATTTGATTCTGCAGACAGACCAATAGAAGGAAAGCGTTGGTGGTTGAATGCAGAAGATCCATTTCAGTGCTTGGCTGTGTGCATTAACCTTTCTGACGCTTTGAGAAGTTCTTCTCCGGAAACATTTATTTCTCACGTCCATGTACATCAGGTATTTTAATTTAGATACATTGTGCTCTCCGGAATTCTTTTTGTGTTACCTTTGATTTCTATCTTGATACTTCAACGATAGGGGTTTTTTAGTTTATGGGGGATTGACCCAAGTCCTTGAGAAGGTTAGAGTCATGTCCACCGAGCTAGAAGAGGTCTGACATGCAGTTTCCACGTATTTAATGCATATAGCAGTTTAAAACTTTGCTCCAGTTTGTAGCTTTTGTTGAACTTTGAATACCTGAGCTTTTATGGGACTTGTGTCTTATGGTTCTTCTTCACAGATATTAATGTAACATTCTGTGATATTCCTGTTTAATTCTTGTTTCATCTTTCTGATTATCTAGGATGGCTCTTGCAATGGTTTACAACACTATGCCGCTCTAGGAAGAGACAAGGTAATTTCCTTTTCAAGGAAAGAAGGAGTTTTTCAGCACTTTTTATCTATTAAACTTTTCACTTTATCTTGTACCAACTGCTTGCATTGTAAAACATAAAAGTCAGATACAATGGAATGGTATAACCCTCTAAGTAATTACTACTAAGAGTTTTCCAGTTTATCTTGCTGTCTGTTTTCCTGCAGTTTGCCTGTCTTTGTTAGGTTGTTTCAACTGTTAAGTTCTTTGACTTTTCTCTTCTGTATCAATATCCAAAACTCGAATCCTAATTTTCATTAGTTTATGAAAGTGATCAAATGAATGGACAGATGTACATCTCTCTTTTTCAATTGGAATACTTTGTTCAGCAGTAATTTGATCCAAATCTTTGTTTTTGTTGAAATGAATTTCTGGTATTTTGTGGGAAGCTGCTTCACTCCCTGTGGTTTTTGCATAAAATTTTCATAGCAGATAATCGCAAACTTCTATATCAGATTTCTGCACTTTTTCTGATTGAATTGTTTCGTTCAGTTGGGAGCAGCTTCCGTTAATTTGGTTGCGGGAGAGAAACCTGCAGATGTTTACTCGGGAATATCTGTAAGGTAAGGTGTTAATGGATATTTGGAAATGGTAACCATTAATAAATGAGAAATATCTTTATCTTACCTTGGGCTTTCTGATTGTTGTTTACTGATCTCGTTTAGAGAAGTTGATTGTGAGTTACTAATCTAGATGTCACTCATGGAGTGCAGGGTATTGGAAATAATGCGTAGAGATGCAGAGCAGGATCCTGAAGTTTTCCCCGATGCATTGCGTGCAAAAGCATTAATTAATCAGGTTTGTTGATAACTTCAACACACTCTTATGATGCAAATATCAAAAAGATGCTGGTTATGAGTAGTTGATTTTACCTTGAATTTCCCTTTTCTTTGTTTGTTCTTAATTGGAAGGATGTGATAGGATATCAATCAAAACAAAGTTTTTGTATGAAAAAATTACAAGATCCATTTACAGTTTAGGGTCCTAGAAGGGGAACTTGGCATGAAGAATTCAGAAAATACAATTACTTGGTGGCTAGTCAGATTTCTTGTATCTGATTGTTGACCCCTTTTGTGGTGGACAATATCTAGGTGGATAGGAAGTTGGTGAAGCAAACAGTGATGACTTCAGTATATGGCGTCACTTATATTGGTGCTAGGGATCAAATCATGAGGAGGTTGAAGGAACGAGGTCTCATGTTGGATGATAAGGACCTCTTTGGCTGTGCTTGTTATGCTGCTAAGGTAAGAGACCGTGTCCATTTTGCATGTGTGTGTGTGTGCGCTTTAAGATTTTATCTGTGCTTACGAGATTTGTATAATGGGCAGGTCACCTTAACTGCTTTAGGGGAGATGTTTGAAGCTGCACGCTATATAATGAGCTGGCTTGGGGATTGTGCAAAAGTTTGTAACTAATTTTATAACTTTTGTTTAATAGTCTCATTTACTTTTTCTATAAAAATGAATATCTAACGGTCAATCATGAATATGAACAGATTATTGCGTCTCAGAATGAGCCAGTGAAGTGGACAACTCCGCTTGGGCTTCCCGTTGTTCAACCATACCGTAAACTAGGGAGGCATTTTGTGAGTGCTGGAAAACTTTCCAACAAAAGTCAGATGTGATCATCCTTGGAATCAACTAGTCACTGATATCCCTTTTCCTTTGAACTTTGTGCAGATCAAAACCTCACTTCAGGTTTTGACAGTACATCGAGAAACAGAGAAGGTGTAATTTTTGGCCGAACTCTATACTTTATTCTATGATTATATGATTCTTTCTCCAATCTGTATGGTTATTCTGATGAGCTTTCTTGGTGCAAATTACGATTTTGTTCATGTGATAGGTCATGGTCAAGAGGCAGAGAACCGCATTCCCACCAAATTTTGTCCACTCCCTTGATGGTTCTCATATGATGATGACTGCGGTAGCCTGCAGAAAGGCAGGCATAACATTTGCCGGTTAGTTGTTGCTGGCTTCTATTTTGTTTGTTGCCTGCTTTTCCCCAGTTCCACTTCTAATAACCACTTACTGGCATGCCATACAGGAGTTCATGATTCATACTGGACACATGCATGCGATGTGGATGAAATGAACAGGATACTGCGAGAGAATTTTGTCGAACTATACAAGACTCCAATCCTGGAGAATGTACAATTTCTCCTCCTTGAAATTTCATGACAAATGTATCGATCTAAGCTAAATTTTTAAGCCTTCTCAAAGAATCAAATCTGCAATCTGCCAGATGAAAATATTTTTACTTGTCATCTTTGGCACTCAATCTAATCCAATGTTGTTTTATGTCCAGTTATTGGAGAGATTCGAAGAATCTTTCCCCGGACTGGCCTTCCCCCCTTTGCCTGAACGGGGTGAGCTTGACCTAAAGGATGTGTTAGAGTCGCCATATTTCTTCAACTGATCAACACAGGAGTGTGTCCTCATGTCAGATGCCACATGCTTCTGGTGATGTTCCATCTCAAATAATCCAGTCCACTTCCATTGACAAGCATGTAAAGGAAAATAGAGGCAAAGAGGATCCTCACAGAAACATGCTATATCGCATCAGTTGTATGTTGAAGGCAGTTATAAAGGTGACCCGAGGTATGACTTCTATTCCTTGTTAAAGCCTTGAACTCGGATGTAGGTGCATACACCCTTGTTCCGCCAAGATGAACACACAAACTTCTTAATGTGGTTACCACATCTGACAAAGATAGATCAAGCTTCTAACTAGAAGTTGGGAAACAAAGAATCATAGTACTTAAAGAGAGTTTATAGCAACTCATATCGTAGATTCAAATTGTGTTCAAATTGGTTTCTTCATAAACTGGATAGCATAGAAACATCGGGATGTTCACGAAAATTTGTTACCGACTTCTAAGATAAGTATTATCCGTCAAGCTTGTTGCTTTGTGTTTGGCTGTTGGCAGGGAACTGGTGATGTAGTGTGTTGGTCACATGTAACTTTTGGAACACTGTTAAGGGAAGTATGACCTTAAGGGGGTTATTAGAGCAGGGTATCATGGTGACTTGGAGCTTTACTGACAGTAGATAGAACCAGATCTGAGAAATGGATCTCGAATCACAGAATAACCAGAAATTTCACGAAATAACGCAGATTTTACAGGGAAATCTAGTTTGATGGATCAGGGCGACAAGGCTGGGTAGAGTATTGACTAGAGAGAAAATGTCGACTAAGGACTGTCCGCAGAGAGAAGTCGAGAGCCTACTGATATGAGAGAAGGATTTAAGAAGATTGTGTACCAGTTGTGACAAGCGGAAGAAAGCAAGGAAACAGGCGCAGCTTTGACAAAGTTCCTTGTTACATATGATAGTTGATGAATTATTCTTGTTACTTATTGCACAATTTTGGTTGTACGGGAATAAAAATTACTTATGTGGTACGTCAAAAGATGTTGATTTACCATCATCCACATGTCTATTGTAAAAATCCCAAAAGTCACAGACTGATTCGGATTATATTGGTCCGCAGAAATAATATCTTACATTTTTTTTTGGTAAGGAATAATATCTTACATTTTGCCGTATTTGTGACACAAAAGTCAGAGGAGTAGATTATGCCTAATGTCTATGACATATGGTTATTACTTCTTTTAAACGTAATTGAGACTAAGATCTAAAATAAATAATAAACAAAAAAAAAATCCTGGAATAATCTTAAATTCATACATTTATAATAGGCGGGTAATCATTCCTTATAAGAAAAATTGAGACAGCTCTGAGTAAATAATCAAATAATGTGATATTCTTATATCCAAACATTTATTCAATAAATTGCTTTGTATATATTTAGGACTTGGAGGTACGAGGAAAGTAACTCCATTATATATTCTATATTTATAATATTTTTTATTATTGCAATAATAATACGTCAAAATTTCAACAAGAAAGTCTGCAAAGAATGTTATGCTCGTTTCCTAAAGAAAAAAAGACCCTCCAAAAGTTTCTATTGCTATAAATGAATGTTTTTCTAGTGTTAGATTGTTGCTCTTATGATATTATACTCATATTCTTCTTGTTAGATAACGTCCCTCAGGATGGCGAGACTCGGTTGGGAAGGGTCATGTCACCCACATTAGGTTTCTGGAAGAATAAAAAGGAGGTGCAATTTGAGTGATAGAAAGAACAACATGATTGAAACATACACGAAATTAATGAGTTTAGATTTATTATAAAAAGAAAAGACTGTTGAACTTATTTTTTTTTAAATGGGTCTAAATTTTTACTCATTACTCTTGATTAATACTCTTTTAACTAATATAATTATTTGACCAAACCCCATAAAAAGTCAAATCCACACACTCGGAGTACTTGTCTTCTTTTCTTTTATGAATGAGTTTAGTTAATATGATTAACATGATTAATAAACAGATTGAGTGACCTTCCGACACGAATTAACACAATTAACTGTGTGTTTATTTACAATTCAATTATATACATAACATAATAACAAGTTGTATCGAGTTACCAATATAAACCGTACGAATTTTGCATTTAGTTGTTAAATTTTATTTCTTTTCTTAAAATAAAAGATAAATTGATCTATACATCTGTTAAATGTGTCATAATCATGTCAAATGAGCCATAATTGTGCTAATTATATTCAGCATAAACAGATTATGTAGATTAGTAGTACTAAATTGCGTGATTAACGTGTCATTTTTGGATTGATATTTTTTGACTACTCAATAAATAAATTAATATTTTATGATACAATTGTTAAATAGTTGACACGAACAAAACCAGTGAACACGAATTACCACTCATATTGTCCCACATCAGTTTAGAAAAAGAGGGAGAAGCAGTCTGAAACATGTATAATGATGACAGTCTTTTTTCCAAATTGTCTCAATCAGAAACACTCTTTAAGTATTAATTTAATGCTCTTGAAACTTGAAGATAAGCGAGGATGAGAATTTACATAATAAATTTACATGCATTTAAGGAGTCATTTTGTCGACTACCTTATTAATACTTATTCCCTTATCAACTTCATTACTTATCATCTTTGTGTTGAGTTAAATTTTATTAGTTGTCGATTTTTAATGCACTATTGCTATTAGTCATCCCAGTTTAATATTCGTCATTAGTCGTTAGCATGTATGTATATTGTCCAACATAAAATGTATAGAGCTCTTATTATGATTATGATTATTATTAATTATTATTGTAATTATTATTTTAAACTTGTGCTACGAGTATATTAGACCATGTTATTGGACGTAAATTTACCATTAAATTAAGCCTGAAAGTTTAACTTTGAATTTATTTTGAATGGTTGCTATGAACCAGTGATAATGCGCAGTGTCCTACCCCAAATTCTCCCATACAAAAAATCTTATATATTTTGTAGAGGTCAAAAAAGTATTTGACTTAATAAAATTGTCAAAAATACTCTATAATTAAACTATAATTGAGTTTATAAAAAACTTAAAAAGGAATTATTATGACGGGAACTATCATTTTTTAAAGAAAAAATTTCATTTCAACTCAAACAAAAAGAATTACAAACACTAATGTTGACATGAATGATCCTAAGATACAAATAGACTCGACCCAACAAAAGATTAGATTTACTGATATTTTCGAATTAAAAGCTAAGGGGGAGTAACTTGTACCATGTTCTGACAATTATAAACCAAAAAAGTACACCAAACTTCGAGACACTAAAAAGGCACACCAAACTTTGAGACACCAAAAAGGCACACCAAACTTCGAGACACAATGGCTCGTTCAATAATACCTCTACAATTGCTTCCGATCAATTGAGATCAAGAGACTTGTAACACGAAGGTCACACACTACACCGCATTGAACCAAATTAAGCGGACAAAAAACACAACCAACCTCAGAGAGTGAAAGACCACCTTCGTTATTACATCGTACAATAAAACAAAACAACACAAATGTGGCAAAAAACACTTCACCCTTAAGAAAACAAAATAAAGCCTAAAGCGGGCACAAACCCAAGATACCAATAAGTCTTTGATGGCACCACCAGTTTCCATGACCGACAAGAACTGAGAAGACACCACATCAAGGAAGCAGAAAAGCCACACCCGAACCATCACCAGATTGGCGTGTGGAACGTGCACACCACAGTCGACGAAACCCACCGGAGTACCAACACCACCAAAAGCAACGTAACACCGAGGTGACAAAAATGCCAGAGAGTAAGGATCTTTAGCGCCTCCGAGCCACCGACCATGATTGCAGTCACTCACTCTAAAAAATGCAACAAACCCCAGCCCCCAGCGAATACTTTCACGGGAGCCACCATCAAGAGAACCTCCTTGGATCTCAATATCATGCTGCTAGGGCCAGAAATCTGATGACCCACTTTAGGCCCCAAGGATTTCGGCACCATGGGGCCAAGAAAAGGAACGTCGCATAGGGAGGGGTTCTGTTGAGAGAAAACCATACTATCATTTTCCTCTATTAGTAAAAACTCAAATTTTAGTCATTAGATTAATTTTTTAACGATTTGATTTAATTACAAATAATTTTGTATCTCGTCCTGCAAACTTTTAGAGAAAATTGTTGACTTACTCTTAAAAGTGCATTCGTTTAGATTTTTACCTCTTATTTTTAATTAGTATCTTCTAATTAATATAGTTATTTGATTAAAAATGGCATTAATCAAGAATAAATGATAAAAGTCTAAATTCATACACTTTTAAGAGATATTTATTAAGATTTTTTAAACTTTTAATGCGGCTACTCACAGATTATGTGATTAAAAAAATTAGGGGACGTTTGGTTAGAGGATTTAAATCATATTTGAATCACGGTTCATGGTTCACTACAGTGTTTTCTTTCACAAAAAATACACGTAAATCAAAAATAATTTTAATCACATGATTCTAATCCATGAACTAAACGTCTCATTAATCTTATGACTAAAATAACAGCTTCTATATAGGTTCCCAAATTAAAAGAAAATAATAAAAAATTAAAAAGTAGTCAAAGCGCGTCATTAGGTCAGGTTGTTAACGTTTATATACTTTATCTTTATATTTTATTGAGAAAAATAAGACAAATATTTCATAAAGTGTATAAATTTAAATTTTTATTCTTTTTTATTAATATTTTTTTAATCAAATAATTATATTAATAAAAAAAATATTAATGAAGATCAGTAATTTTTTCTATTTCATTTTTAGGCATAAAAAATTGTTGAAAGGCCCAAAACGTTAACAAATACCAACTTATAGCACGAGGAATGGAAAGGAATCGATAGATAAAGAGAGAATAAAGAAGGCTTCCTTTTAGTCTCAAGTCATATTCATTTCACCGATTTAAATTTAGAATTCAAGTTTTATTACACAAAAAAATTTTAAAAAATAATTATATTTAATTTTTTTATTACAGTAAATTTTTTTATATAAAATTACATTTTAATTCAAATTAAAAACTAAATTAATAAACTAAACGATCTCTAAAATTTTACAATTAAAAACTCTTAAAAAATATCACATTTAATTTTTTTTATTATAATTAAAAATTCTAAAAAAATATTGGATTCCAACTTAAATTAAAAACTGAGGAACCGCACTGAAGTATAGCGTTAGCGGAGGCTTAAGGGGGTTTAAAAGTCGGCGTCGTCGTCGTCTTCTTCTTCTTCGCCATTCGTATATTTCTTTCCCTCTCTTTCTCTCTCCTCCCGTTCTTTCTTCTTCTTCCTCTTATTCTTCCCAGATTCGATGGTCTGTCTTCGCCATTAAATTCCCTCAAATCTTGACGTGATTTGACGTTCAACACCAACAATTATCCACATTTATCAGCACCGGAATCCGCCATTTCCGACCATTTCGGACGGTGACAGCGAAGAGGAGGTTAATATTGAGTATAAATGTGGAGAAACTATGTCAAGCAAGCGTTTTGGAGAAACCGCCCTTATCGCCGCCTCCTCATTTCTCAATGCCTTCCGGGAAAATCACAGCCTTCCGATTTCACTACCGACCAAAAGTTTCGTCCTTTCGAACTGATTTTCAGCTCGACTCGCGATTCTAACTGCAAGGCCGGTTTCGGATGGTTGAGAATTCCGACGAGGCGGTATGCGAGTGTGGCGGAGGCGGTTTCCTACGACGACGATGAGTTTCGAGGATCGCCGCGAGAGACGATTGAAGAGGAGGAAGTGAAAAGGCCGATGGGAAGAGCTTATGAATCTCTGAGAAGAAGGCAAGTGAAGCTCGAAACGGAAGCGTGGGAGAAGGCGTCGAACGAGTACAAGCAGATGGTGGACGAGATGTGCAAGAAGAAGCTGGCGCCGAATTTGCCCTACATGAAATCCTTGTTCCTTGGTTGGTTTGAGCCTCTGAGAGAGGCCATAAAAGACGAGCAAAAGCTCTGTGTAGAGAGGAAGTGTAGGAGTGTTTATGCGCCATACTTTGTTCAGTTACCGGCGGATATGATGGCGGTGATCGCGATGCATAAGTTGATGGGTTTTTTGATGACAAAAGAAGGGAAAGGAGTTACCAGGGTGGTTCATGCTTCCATGGCCATTGGCGAAGCCATTGAGCAGGAGGTTTGAGAGCTTGGCTTTCCTCTCTTTTTTTTTTTTTTTTCATGTCTTACTTTCTTTTTGGACATTACTGCTTGGTTCAAGGGATTGGTAATGAGTTTCTTCGTCGTACTGAACCAACATTTTTAATATGCTCTTGTTTGGTTGCTTTTGTTGGGTATGATAATATGCTTCTGATTTGTTTTGCTTAAGCCATGCCTTTTTTTTTTGGCTAGGCTTAGTTTCTCTTTTTAAGATGGGAACTGACCTTTAATCATTTTATGGTTGAAAAATGCTTAAAGGGCTCCGGTGGTGCTGGCACCACAACTATCTAGGACCCGCAAGTTGTGGTGCCGAGTGCTACTGATGTCTGATAACACTGCTTGTTATGATTGTTTTTTGAGTAAATCCCTAGACCAAGCGTGCTGTTTCACTCTAGGCACTAGTTTCACTCCCACCACTCCTTCCTGCTCTATCTCCTGAGATGAGTGTTGATGTTTTGTTACATCTTGAATGAGTTAGGTCAAATTACACAGATTGTTGCAAAAAACTGGAAGGAAAAAAATTTATAGGTGTGAGGTAATTGAAGGGGAGATGGATGATAAGGAAGAGAAGAAATTGAAGAAGAACATTACCAAGTTGATGAAAGAAAACAATCTGCGGAAAATGAGACGGATAGTGAACAGACAAGGCGAAGACAGCTGGGGATATAACATCAAGGCTAGGGTTTGTATAGTCCTTGTGATTTCTGGTTAAAGGTTAATATTTACTGAATATGCTTTCTAAATAACCACTTTCTCGCTTGTACTTTTCAGGTTGGAGTTCGTCTAATTGAATTGTTGCTTCAAACGGCTTTTATACAAGCTGAACAGGTGGCTGATGATCCGCCTGATTTACGACCAGCATTTGTACACACTCTTAGGAGATTAGGTGCAAAGTAAGATCACACATCTAGCTTAGTAATAGATTTACATTTCCTCAGAACCTTTTAAATAGTGCTTCTTATATTTGCTTTTGACAGAGATTCTGGCAAAGTATGTGGTTTCATTGAGTGTGACCCTTTAGTGCTCAAAGGCATTGAGAGAACTGTAAGTAAACCCCCATTATTTCCTTTCCATTACTCAAGAAACAATGGAAATTGCATGTTGGCAGGCGTTCTATTTTTTAATCGTTTTAGGGTTTGGATGTAGGTGGATAAAATTGTTTCATTACACTGGAATTGATTAAGAGCTAATATTCATCCTTCAACATCGTTGTTTACACTTGTTTATGCTTTCCATTTTTGGGGTCTTGGTTTCCTAAGATTTCTCAACTTTTTGGAAAATGAACACATCTTCCGAAACTCTAGAAGTAGGGATTCGACTTATTTACTTATTATTACTGCTGTTACTATTATTATTACGACTGTATTTATGCTTTTGTTTCTGTTATTCTCTTCTGGTTGACGGTTTAATTCTCTCTCTCAGCTGGATTTTAAATGAGTGATTTTTTATTTTAACAGGTAAAGCACATGGTGATTCCCTATATGCCTATGTTGGTAACCCCAGTCAACTGGACAGGGTATGGCCATTTCGGTCTTGTGCTTGCATTCATTTGTTAATTTCTTGTTTATTTGAGCAGGAAATGACATAATGTATTTTGAAGTTTCTTTTTTATTGTTGAATAAAGTCAGACAAATTTAAGTTGATAGTAAATTAAATATATTTTTCAATTGTTGTTGAAAGCCATGACAATGTGAGGTAAAACAATTTTGTGAAGGGACTTCAAACCTGCCAATCTTTTGGGTTTGAAGTTTGAACATGTAAATATATAATATCTTAGGAATAGAAATGGAGTAGGTGGTTGTTTTAGTACTTTGAGATGTGCAGTCTAAGATTTACATGGGTGAATTTTGTGACTTGAAATAAAGTAATTCACAGGCAAAAAGTGAGTCGACTATTTAATTCCATATGTAATTTTGTGGCCAATGAGCAGGAAAACTAAGAAGGTTTTTCAAGGGTTTGACTGCTGCTTAAATATTTTTGCAAACGCAATTTCATATTTTCTTCCTTATGTTTGATTCCTCAACCTTGTTTCTTTGTTGTTGTTGTTTTTATTTTTTTATTTTTTAAGTGGCATTGTGATATTTTTACGCAGCTATAACAAAGGAGCACACTTCTTCCTACCATCGTATGTCATGCGTACTCACGGAGCAAGAGAACAGTGTGAAGCTGTTAAAAGGGCCCCAAACAAGCAAATGAAGCCAGTTTTTGAGGTTTGTAAATCCAAGTGTTGCAAGTATTTCTCCGAGTATCTTTTATTTTCCTAAATAATGATGAATAATTATCCGAGACTTTTGCTAAGTTCTCGTAAGTTTAAATGTGTATTTTTACTTGCTAGGCTTTGGATACTCTTGGGAATACAAAATGGAGGATTAATAAGAGGATTCTTAATGTTGTAGAGAGATTATGGATTAGTGGAGAATGTATTGCTGATTTGGTGGATCGGAAAGATGTGAGTTTATAGATGTCATCTCTCTCTCTCTCTCTCTCTCTTGTAGTTATGACGTACTTTAGTAGATCAGGTGTATCCTGATATATTTATGCTGCTTGCAAACTATTGAACTTTGCCTTGAGCTGGGAGTTTGATTGTTTGAAACTGATTTGGAAGTCTCCGTTTTAATTTTCGACATTTGTGTTTGTTCTGTTTCTGTTTCTGTTTTCAATTTGCTTTTGCTCTCTGAGGACCTCTTGTCCTCTTCTGTTGTATCGATTATTCTATCAATATAAAGTCTTTCTTATTAAAAATAAAAAAAAAAAAAATTCAACATTGCAGGTTCCTTTGCCAGATAAACCGGATACTGAAGATGAAACACTCCTAAGGAAATGGAAACAGGAAGAAAGGTCTGTCGTAAAAGAAAATGCAGAGAGATATGCACTGCGGTGTGAGACAGAAATTAAATTTGAGGTAAGAGCTATTCCGCATTGTGAAGAGACTACAGCTGCCTTATGCTAAGAAATTTGTGCCCACTCCTATTTGGAGCAGGTAGCGCGTAAAATGAAGGATGAAGAAGGTTTTTACTATCCTCACAATCTTGACTTTCGGGGTCGTGCATACCCTATGCACCCATACTTAAATCATCTTGGTTCAGATATGTGCCGGGGTATTTTGGAGTTCGCAGAGGGATGTCCCCTAGGAAAGTCTGGCTTGCGTTGGCTGAAAATACACTTGGCTAATCTATATGCTGGTGGTGTGGACAAGTTATCTTATGAGGGTCGAATAGCATTTACTGAGAATCATTTGGAGGAGATATTTGATTCTTCAGACAGGCCGCTAGAAGGAAAGCGTTGGTGGTTGAGTGCTGAAGATCCATTTCAGTTCTTGGCTGTGTGCATTGAACTTGTCAGTGCTTTGAGAAGCACTTCTGCCAAAACATTTATTTCACACGTCCATGTACATCAGGTATATTTTGTTTGATTTCTCTCTTGATACTTTGTGGATAAAGGATTTAAGTTTATACGGATTACTAAGATGTAATACACTAATGTAAGAGCTTCAGAGTCATGTCATTGTCAACTGAGCAAGTTTGGCATGAAGTTTCTTTGTTTTATGCGTACACCTGTTTATAATGATGCTTCAGTTTCTTAGTTTTCTGTTGAAATTTGTATCCCTGAACTCATGAGATCCTTATCTAATGGTTCCCCGCAAGTCTGTCATTCAATATCATGTAATATTAAATTTTCTGTGGTATACAAGTTCTAAGTTTTTTTCTTCTTTCTGATGCATCTAGGATGGCTCTTGCAATGGCTTACAACACTATGCTGCCCTTGGAAGAGACAAGGTAATATTCTGTTTTCCGGTGAATATTCTGTTGAATGTAATGTTTGGAAGAGACGAGGTAATATTCTTTTTTTTTTTCAGTGAATATTCAACAGAACGTAATGTTTTAAATTTAAGGTTTCCACTCCCCCTTATACTGCATCATCATAGTAAAATATGAAGTTTTGATGCAATGGAAGTTTTATAGGCCTCTACCCGCTCGAGGGAATTTTCATGGTTTTTCAGTCTCTCTCTCTCCACTTCGCCTATTATATTGGTTGGTGTTTCAACTGTACGTTTATTGTTGCTTAAAACAAGATTCGATGTCCCTTTTTTTTTTTTTTGGTTTCCTTTGTGTTAATAGACAACGTAGTTTTAAGGGACATTTCTCTTAAAGGGCAGTAGCAGGTTTTACACTTTTTCCTAAAACCCTGGATATTAATCTTCACCCCTTTAAGAAGTTAGTAATGGAGTTGACAGACGAACTTGTGTAATTTTTAATAGGAAGTTGGAACTGTAGATCATTTAGCAATATATTGACCAAGTGTTGGTTCGCATTGAAATGCATTTTCCATATTTTGTAAGAAGCTACCTATCTCTTACTCTCTCTAGCAAATGAAATTTTCGTAGCGGAAATATTTAAGCTTCTATTTCAAATGTATGTACTTCTCATTGAAATGTATCCATTCAGTTGGGTGCAGCTGCTGTTAACCTGGTTGCAGGAGACAAACCTGCAGATGTTTACACGGGAATAGCTGAGAGGTAAAAATAGCCACTAAGTAATGATTAACCAGTAAACCACTTTGTTCTACATTGGCATTTCTTATTGTGCAATACCCATCTTATTTTGGGAGGAAGTTTCTGAATTCTGACTAAATAATTTAATTTCAAAAATATTATGACTTTGACTGCAGGGTACTGGAAATAATGCGTAGTGATGCACAGAAGGATCCTGCAGATTTTCCGGATGCATTATCTGCGAGAATATTAATTAATCAGGTTACTTTCAAGACTTAATACATTTTTATGATGCAAATAACAAAAGATATCAGATAATATTAAGACTTTTTTATTTAAATTGTTATTTCCAGATCAATTTGCAATTTTTTCTTTTTTGTTGAGGATCTATTTTTAGTTTAGGGTCGCAACCTATGTAAAAACTTCATAGCATGAGTAATTAAGCAAATATAATCGTCTGATGTCTGGCCAGGTATCTTGTAACTGATTGTTGGCCCTTATGTTGCGTGCTGTCTAGGTGAATAGGAAGCTGGTGAAGCAGACGGTGATGACATCAGTGTATGGCGTCACTTTCATTGGTGCTAGGAATCAAATTAAGAAGAGGTTGAAGGAAAGAGGTGCCATCGCAGATGACGAGGAGCTCTTTCGTTGTTCTTGTTATGCTGCAAAGGCAAGAGAGATAATTTGTACTCTTATCACTTCACATCTCTAGTTTCAAATTCTTATGCTTTTCTATGTAAATAGGTGGATTTCTATGTTTGTTCTTGAAGATTTGTCTTTGCTTATGAGATTACTTATTATGGACAGGTTACCTTAACATCTTTAGGGGAGATGTTTGCAGCTGCACGCAGTATCATGGACTGGCTTGGAAATTGTGCAAAAGTTTGTACCTAATTTTTCTTCCTGTTACAGTCTATTTATGATTTTTTTTCCCCGTGTATTAATATTTTAACGATAAAGCTATAATATGAGCAGATTATTGCATCTCAAAATGAGCCCGTGCAGTGGATAACTCCGGTAGGACTTCCTGTGGTGCAACCTTACCGTAAATTAGGAGATCATTCTGTGAGTACGAGAAAATTTTCCATATCAATGAAAAGTCGCAAATTTTATTATCCTTGAAGATATACACACACACACACACACACACACACATATATATATATATATATATATATATATATATATTGCTAATCACATCCTCAGAGATCAACTAGTCATTCCATGTTGTCATTACCTTTAATTAGGTTATTTTTATTTTTTTGTTGTTGTTGTTGTTGCCGCTCTGCTGGAAAACCTTTTATTTTTTCATTATTATCTATTATTTCTTTTAACTTTTTGCAGATCAAAACTTCCCTTCAGACTTTGACAGTAAAGCGAGAAACAGAAAAGGTATTGTTCTTCTTTTTGACACAATTCTATTCTTACCTAGAATTATTCTCCAGCCAACAATGGTGATTATTGTATATTCTTCATCTTTTCCTGTTTCGTTTTATGTTCCTTTCTCCAACAAATTGAATTATAAATTCTGTGATAAGCTGTCTAGCTACAAGTTATGGTACTAATATTGAATTTACTTGAGATTCATCTGGGAATCTTTTTGGATATTTGAATATGGAATAGCGAAGATGACGAGAAGCCCTTTCAAATGTTTTGAGAATAAAACGCGGATACAAATTGACATGCTCGTCTTTATTGAAAGCATGGGTGCATCCGTTTTCTCTTTAGTAATCAACCAACAGATAAAGAAGAAAGGACATTGTGGTATCCGAGTTGATTTATTCCTTCTTTTCATCCACGGATGTTTTGCTTGCCGAATGGTTTTATTTTCTTGTGTTTAATTGACCAAAACAGCAAAAAAAAAAAAAAACAGAGAGAGAGAGAGACCAAAACAGCTATTACGGGATAGGGAGAGACAAATCAAAACAAAACCAAACCAACATGGACAGTTGAGGCCGAAGCTGTTGAACCTAAAATCTGAAACGTGATTTTCATTGTTTGATAGGTTGCGGCCCGGATGCACAAAACAGCTTTCCCACCAAATTTTGTTCATTCCCTTGATAGTTCTCACATGATGATGACAGCAGTTGCCTGCGGAAAGGCAGGCATAACATTTGCAGGTTAGTTCTTGGCTTCTACCTTCTTTGCTACCTTCTTTCTTTTGGTTTTACAATAATTACCATTTCCTGGAATTCCATGCAGGAGTTCATGATTCCTACTGGACACATGCATGTGATGTGGATGAACTGAACAGGGTACTGCGAGAGAAGTTTGTGGAACTATATGAGACTCCAATACTCGAGAATGTATAGTATTTTTTTTCTTTTCGTGTGAACTTTATGTTAAAGTAACTGATGTCCAAGCCTGCTCGTGGAGTCAAATCTACCCTCTGCCAGTTGAAAACATGTATACTTATTAATCCTTGTTTTTTTTGTCCAGTTATTGGAGAGCTTTGAAAAATCTTTCCCTGAATTGATCTTTCCTCCCTTGCCTGAGCGAGGCGATTTTGATCTAAACGAAGTGTTGAAATCACCTTATTTCTTCAACTGATCAAGACAATGAGTTATTCCACTTTCAGTCATCACATGCTTCTATTGATGTTCCATCTTTGGCGATCCCGTCTACAAGTGCATAAGGGAAAATAAATGACAGAGAGAGCCCTCACAGAAATGGCTGTATCACATCAGCAACACTGAAGCTGTAAGAACGTTGACTTGAGGTATGATGTCTTTTCACTTATTAAAGCCTTGAACTTATGGACACTCCCTTCTGCTGCCAAGATGGACATGAAATGTTTATGAACGTGTACTTACCATGTGGAAAGGAAAACATCAGAGAATGATGAATGAAGCTTTCACAAAATGATAGATCAAGCTTCTCAGTGTAGGGTGCAAGACTCAAATTCGCAGTGTATAAATATGGTTTCTTGGCACTACCGGTTATTTGGCGGGGTGATAAGGCTGCTCATTCTCTTCAACAAGGTTTTTTGTTCGAGTCAGTCCCATGACAGTGGTTGGAGTTGGGTGATATGGGCAATCCAGACGCAAATTCACAGTGTATAAATTTGGTTTCTTGGCACTACCGGTTATTTGGCGGGGTGATAAGGCTGCTCATTCTCTTCAACAAGGTTTTTTGTTCGAGTCAGTCCCATAACAGTGGTTGGAGTTGGGTAATATGGGCAATCAACTATGTGAGGGATACTAGACATCATCCTGTACCCATCACAACATAGGACACTGATGCACAGTTTAGTATTCCATAAATTGTGCTCTTGTATGAAACATGACTTTAGATCATGGTCCGATTGTTGCAGCATTTATGTTCATTGTGTGTAAAAATGCAGCTTTACATGTAAGACTTGAGATTTTTGTGTCCTAGGGAGGTAGAGTATTGTAGCTTATAGCTTTTTTGGAGTTGTGGATCTCTTGGGAAAGCGTTACAAGTACAACCATGCGTCCCAATGAGAAGATTAAGGTCCATTTAGTTCACTGATTCGAGTTTTTAATTTAAGTTGAGATGTAACTTTGGGGGCGTTTGGTATGCAGTAATCTTAAGGATAGGAATGAGAATCTGCAATATTACCATGTTTGGTACAAGAATTATAATTTTTAGATTCCCAGGAAAGTGATTACCATGGGATTCACTTTCCCTCATTTTAAGATAATTTGAATACAACCCAACATGGTGTTATTTAAATTATCAGGAATCTCAAAATCATGGGAATCTTATTATAATAATAATAATTATAATAATAATAATAATTATAATAATAATAATAATATTATTATTATTATTATGGATCTTCTTCCATGCGAACAATCAAACACAGTAATGTAATATTTCTGGAAATTTGAAAAAGATTTCTGTATGGAACTAAACACAGTAATGTATTATTCTTAGGAATCATATTACCTTCCATCATTTTCCTGAGAATATGATTCTTACTGATTCCCGCATACCAAACGCTCCCTTTATGTGAGTTTTTTTACTGTAGTAAAAAAATTAGATGTGACTGTTTCTGAGAGTTTTTTATTGTAACAAAACTCGAATTTTAAATTCGAATTGGTGAAATGAACGAGACCTTAATGTCTCCTGTAGTGTTATACAACAAAATTAATTTATCCACTGACTTGATTTTCTTTTTTCAGTTTTTTGATAATTCTGTCGATCTAGAAAAGGCAGTGGTATAAAAAAAAATAGTTTACCCATTTATGTTTCTTGATTTTCAACTTCTTTTTTTTTTTTTTTCTTTTCTTCGACCAATTTGAGCGAAATATAAACTCTGAATATTATACAAGACAATTCTAAATTGTCCAGAGAAAAACTCTCTCCCAAATAGCTAGGATGACTGGCTGTTTGCGCAAACGATGTTCATAAATTCAGCCCCACCACCCCCCACCAAAAAACAAAAAAACAAAGCGCGCACACACACGCAAACAAAAACAAAATCGATTTTCACAAGACGACCACACTGCAGTTTTTCTAATTTCTATGTCTTTAGACGACCACAAATTTTTATATCATAAATGTATGTCGTTCGTATCCACAAAGCGGCAGACGGCAGTGGAGTTTTAAGGCTTGTTCGCTTTACAGATTTGAATTTTTATTTTGAATTGAGATATGATATTTTTTAAGAGTTTTTAACTGTAGTAAAAAAAATTAGATATGACATTTTTTAAAAGTTTTTAATGTAAAAATCTAAAACTAAAAACTCGAATCGGTAAAATAAACGAGATTTTAGAATACAAGCTACATGTTTTAATAACAAAAGAGCATGATTCTCAAGCTACATGTTTTAATAAGAAAAGAGCATGATTCTCAATTTAAATGATATGTCAGTTAAAAGTACCTGGCATATATATATGAGAGGGGGATATATATGAAAGATTCTTTAATACGTTTGTTGTACTTATATGTCAAGTTTTTTTAACTTGTTATTTTTCAATCTAATTTGAGTTCTGATTAGATTTAATGCAGTTCTGATGACTGATGATTAGAGAACACAGTGGTCCTAAAAAAAGGGAATATCAGAGAAAGTTCCTACACATTATTTGCTGCTTTAGTTTTTAAAAGTCTGTTACATTTTGATAAGACATTTTGTGGCTCTAGTCTAAAATTTGATTTGCATACTGAAATTAAATTTGCTTCGCGGGCCCTTCATATTTTGACCCAAGTTTAAGATGAATTTCCACGCTATTCTCATTTAAAACCGTTTGGTTGCGGTACGAAAATGGTAATTGTAATGAGGATGAAAATGATAATGATAATAAAATAAAAAAAATTGATTTATTTATTTAGTTGTAATTTTAAGAATACTATAAAATAGAATATAAATATTTTCATGTTGACAAAATTACCCTTATATAATATATAACATTAATATTTTATATGTCAATATAATTAATATAATATAATACAATTATTTGAATATAATATATTATATAATTATGATATAGAATATAATAATATTATTAAAATGGTTAACATAATTAGAATACTATAAGATATATTATAATATTATATTAAATAAATATATTATGTAGTCATGTGTAATACACTATAATAAATAATAATGTTTTATAATATAATTAAAAACTACAACTATATTATATTATACTATAATATAATATATATTATTATATTATTAGAATATTATATTAAATAAATATATTATGATTAATATATTATGTAGTCATAATGTTTATAATATTATAATAGATAATAATATTAGAATCATAAGATTATAATAATATTTAATTATTATATTATTATTAATATAATAAACATAATTATATTAATACAATATAATATTATTATAATCTCATGATAAAATAATAATATTATAGTTATTAATATAAATATGATATTATTTGTTACAATATTACTATGATATTATATCATATTTTTATTTATTATATTATTATAACTATATTATACTGTTAATATTTTTATTATATATTATATTGTGTTACATATTATAAGATATAACTACTATATAATATATTATAATTATATTATAATATTAAAGGGTAATTATGAAAAAAATAAAGAAAAGAGTTTAAAATGACTATTCCTCCCGTGTAAGTAAGTAATGATGATTCATACAAAATGAGTGAATGACAATTTCTTTTGAATGACTATTCTTTTTTTATAAATCTAATTAAACATTAAATTTAAATTTCATTCCATTTTATTCATTTTCTTTCCATTCAACCAAACACACCCTCAATTCAATCCGACGAGTTTGGGTAACAGATAGTAGAAGGCATTCCCTATACCGCCCCATTGTTGTCGCTAGCCATTGCAAGCTTATAAACAAACAATTAACGACGTGTTTCAGTACATCAAACAACTAAGCGTGATCTAAATTGAGCGTAATTCAATTTTCGAAGACAAAACGACATTTTCCTTTTTTCTTTCTTTTGCTTTTGTTTTTTTGTTTTTTAATGATATGTTCTTACAGCGAAAAGGCAATTTATAACATTTGTGCTGATTTCCACCCAACATTCACTTTCTTCTCTTTTTACTAGTCTTTACATGAACTCACGAAACACGAAAGCACCATTTTTAGAATATAATTATATGCTTCTTCAAACAACCGACTTGTAGAAGCTATAGTCATGCTTCCTCTAGCTTCAACTTCTTGAAGTTATCAATGGCCCCTCTTTTTTTTTTTTTGGTTATCAGCGCTCACCATACATTTTTCTGAGTCATGTTTACCGTTTCCTACTCGATCGATGACGTTCCGGACCAAGCCACCAATAGTTCGTATGTGGAAGTAGAACAATGAATTGTCACTTCTTTCGTTTGAGTTAGTAGCCATATCGATCATTCAAGGACGTTCGGCCATCACCAGATTGCCCTGCACATAAAACACAAAGACGATGAATCCAATAATTGGGAGGGAAAGGTGATAATAAAACCAGATAACAATTTGTGAGTGGAATTAAATCGCTAACCTTCAGGCGGAACCCACGTTTCACTATCTGAAGTACTATCAAGAAATGAAGGTTTCTCGGGACCCAACACTCGTTTAGGCTTTTTATCCTTGCTCGGTTGATGCTGTTTCAATGTTTCTTGGCTCTCTATATTATTGTCTTCTCCTGATGCATAAGACCCCCTTTGATGTTTTAACAGTAACGCCACAGCATCCATTGCCATAAGTTCAGCTGAAGATGTCGTCTGCTCACGAGCATCTTTTTTGTTACTTTCAACTTCATGAACTTGCTTCCGCTTCCTGACGATCAACCCCGGGGCAGCGTTTTCAAGCCCACTTTCTACTTTTGTCTGTGAACCATCACCATTAACCAGCATCTTCTTCCTGTCTTTATAGTCAACAAAATCATCAGAGTCCTGCACGTCTAAAGGCACTGATTGTTGGCTCTCCTCTATTTTCTTGTTCTCTACAGCTCCAAGCCACTGGGGCTTGGCCTCCACATATACGGGAGTTTTTCCCTCCATTGCCTCTAGCATAATCTCATCAGCTTCAGGCTTCTTGTCTGACTTCACAGTTGCATCTACAGTTTTTTCTTTCTTCATGGAGCCATTTTCTGGTTCTTCAGGCTCGCTACTTTCCTTTGGTTCCTTGGTAGGTTGCTTCTTGCTGGCAGCTGCAAGAGTCGCAGATTTTTTAGGCTTCAACTCTTGTACCTTCAGAACTCTTTTCTTAGCAGCTTCACCTGTTGGATCTGCAATCTTCAGGAGGTATAATATTCTATCCAGTTTAGACTGGAGAGCTGATAATTCCTCCTGGAGTTGGGTAGTTTTATCAATGACTGCCAACAAGGTAAGGAAGTTAGCAAGCGTCGCTAATTTCAAAAGTGAGATATATCAAGTAAGAAAATACCAAATCCAGGATCAAGCATAAAATACAGCCAGGTAAATCTGATGCAGCATTTCTCACCTAGCTGAGATGAAATACCAGACATGAAAGCATCAAGTGCATCTCCAGTTTCTGTCTCGTCCATTTTCTCAGACACCATTTTGTTCTTCTCAATCAGAAGCACCTCTTTCTTGTCTTCAATTTCTTTTATGATGGAATCTCTCTTATCAAGAAGGGTATCAGCAGTTTCAACAGATTGGTGTTCAGCAGCCTTTTTACTAGAAGGCTTTTTCTTTGTTCGATCATAGAAGTCATCATCATCACTAGACAATAAAAACATAATTAATTATTTATTATCATTTCTGAGTAGAATCACAAAAGAATTAGCAAATTGAAAAAGTGATGAAATTAAGTCATCCCGAAGTTTTATGTTAGGACTTGTAAACCTTCTACCACTGATCTTATTGAAACTGCTTCTACAAGTACTTATCATAAACAAGGTACCTTAAAAATTCATCATCTTCTTCTGCTGCTCCTTTCTTCCTCCCACGACCTATAGTCCCAGCACGTGCGCCAAGACTTTCTCTAATACTCTCATTTAGTGTCTCTTCCAAATTTTCAAGTTCCTCCATGATCTACTAATAGAAAGAGGAAAACGTTTAGAAACAGCAGTTACAAAAAAGCTAAAAACTTGTGCTCCCCAGTTCAACAATCATGTTGTCAGGCAAACCAAAGGGACTGGGCTTTGACCAACTAGTATCAAAGTTTACCTGTGCTATTCTTTGTTCATTTCGAGCAATCTGAGTTTGTTGCCCTTGTGTCAACCCCCCTTGAGATATGTCTTTAGTGCGAATAGCATCTATTTCTTTCTTCATATGAGAAATCTAAACAGAAAAGAATATCTATGTTAAACAAGAACATCAATATAGCCCTTGAGCTAAAAAAAGAACATCAATATAGTCTCGGTAGGTTTAAGTAAATGGCAAGAATATTAATAAATTTCTGATAAAAATTGTTGATTGGTTGGTTGCTATGCTGATGTAATAGCAAAAAGCTAGTTTAAGACAAAATCTTCAGTGAACGACACTACGAAACTTTAAATTAATTTCAGCTTTTTTATTCACTGAAAAATTGAACCTAAGAAACCAAAGAGAAGACAAGTTCAGTCCTGTAGAAGGGTGGGAAGCGGTATTCTAGAAAATTTTGTACAACCCGAGACAAAATAATTTCAGCATATCCAAGGTAATTCCCCAGCAATAGTAGATAACAGATAATGTGATCTAAAAAGTACATTTATCCCTAAGTTGCCATAAAGCAACGTCAATATTCAAAAGGAAACAACTTAACACTTCTATACCAAACGAAAAGATACCAGCTAAATACGGATTCCAAACCCTATCAAAAATTAAAAAACATGCACACAATATAGATCCATATTGCTATTATGTTAAACATTTCTGACACACAAAAAAAAAAACAAAACAAAAAACAAAAACCCAAAAAAAAAGGAAACTACAGAGAAAGAAACCACAAACCTTTTCCATTCTTTTAATGACTTTTTCACGGGTTTTTTCTTGCTTCTCTGTTAGTTGTCCTTTGTAAGTTTGCCAAGTTACCTCATCGCTGTCATCCTAATGTCCGAAACTTTAAGAATCAGTACGGTCATCTAAATTAGAATAATTATCAAACTGAAAAAATATATACACACAGATATAATATCCAAATCATTTTTATTTACTAAAAAGTGGCATAAACCTCAGCTTCTTCAATGGCATCCTCTCCCATGCCCCATGAGACACCCTCAGCAAGAGATGCTTGATGTCTTGCTCGTTGAAGTGAAGCTTCTCGATCTAGCATATCTTCTCGTATCTTAGCATCTCTTATTTTCTTCAAGTCAGTTTCCTAAAATAGCACACATTATAACCTCAAGAGAAAAACAAGTTATGCAATAATCTCCCAGGTGGAGAAAAGCCAACTGAATGCAAAATCTTGAGAGATTAAAGTAATCAAAATCATCCTATTTTGATCTCTTGAAACAACAAACAAACAGCCACATGCATATAAATATAAATAAAATCAAACAAAATATTGAAATAGAAGCCTAAATTTAGAGTGAAACAATGTTAAAAGTGAAAATGTGAAATCATTTTATTTGATCTTTTCTTATTAAATAAAAATAACAATAAAGAACAGAACTCTATTTAACCTTGCTTTTAATATGTCAATAAAAGTATGCTTGTTTCTTATCAAGAAATATATAAAGTGAGATTGCTTACTTGTGGCATAAGCTCTGTTGGTCCTTGGAAAATATACAAACGAGATGACCTGCACAAATACAAACAGACAAAATTAATCCGAAATGTCTCAATTAAGTACAGCAACAAGCATGGAGGCTAAGAAACTTGACATATCTATAACTAACACTTCTATGGCAAATTCAATTGTTCACCAAACTACACGTCATCAATTTATTTACATCCATGCCATTGTACCACGGCTCAATAATCATCATAAGACAACTAGGCATGAATTTTAGCCCCAAAATTTCATTTCTTTATTTAGACACAAACAAAGCTGCAGCCTCATATACACATATTGAAGAGAGCCAAAATTAAAAACATTTAATCTCATCATCACAAAATGTAAATATCATAAGTTTGATATCATCACAAAAATTAAGAAGTGGTCCAACTCAAAGTTACAAGAAGATCAGAAGAAGAGGGGAAGAAAGAAATTGAATGCAGAGATACATACTGTCCGAATCGAATGACATCACCAACGTGTAAATCCACATAGCTCTTTTTCTCAACCTCCTCACGACGAAGTAAAAGTTGGTCAGAAATAGATATCACGTATCCACCAGAATATGTTGTAGAAACAGTTGGATTAGAGAAGAGCCATCCAATTTGTGACTTTTTATTTGTGTGTAGTGTAACTCAAACAAAAATCCCTGTCGACATGTGCGTGTGTGCACACATGTTTAAAGAACTTAGAGGTCCTAAATGGTAACAAGTCATAGTTCTGCTTGTTATTTATTTTTTTATGTTCACTTCTTAAAGCTTCAATCCCTCACCAAGAAATTTTATAAAATAATTGAGAATTAAGCTGTATCTCAACGATTTTGTGAAGGAATTGAGGAGTGACCCTAGAAAATGTGATGCAGGCTAAGTTCTTGCATAGCATACCTGATTCTTGTTTATGAAAGTACCATGGGTGCTACCGAGATCATAAACATAGGCTTCTCCACTTCGTTTGAATTGGAGAACTGGATTATAGAAAACAAGTTAACACCATTGATTTGGGAATGAAAAATGAGAAACAAATCCAAACACTATAGATATATGGAGAACATATATAATAATGAAAAAACGTTAGAGCAACTTGATATTATATAGGAACAATGTTATTTCACATGCATATGCGAAAAATATATTTCAAAAGCTTACTATTTCAAAGAAAATGGAGGGTGAACTTTGCCCACTATAACTCTAAATTCATGGCTTAATCAAGAATTTACTACAAAAATTGGGTAAGTGGACAAGGGAGCAAAGTGCGAAAACCTATTTACATCATCGACGTACATAACATGAGCACCAACAACTAAGAAGACGCGCTTGCTTATCAAGAAGAGGAATGAGAGACAAGTACCATAGAAAACAACTATAATCTCACTCTTACTGAGCTAACAAGATATGCAACACAGCTTTAACACGAGTGACACATTCGGCCAAAAGTCTCAGTTTGGCAAAGGGACTAGCTCGAATCACAATTCATAAACTAAAATAGGTGTCACAGCACACATTGTTCAAACTTCAATTTATGAAATGCCTTATAAAGTTTAACACTTTTTCTTGATTGAATGATAAAGTAAGGCACTTGAGCTCAAATAATTGAGAGAGAGAGAGAAGGTAAATACCGGCATGAAAGCGAGAAATGGTCGCGTGATCAAGCACAAAGTCACAAAGATCCACGCGCCCAAACATGTAAGCCCCTTTCTCGTGTCTGCACAGAAATGAAAACACCAAAAAAACGCAATTCAATCACAGAAAACAACATGAACAACCACACACAAAAAAATCCAGAAAAAATGAACTTACACATCGAATTGGTCGATTATAGAGCCTTCCTTAAGAACCTCGAAAAAGAAGTGGTGGCACGGAGGTCCACTCCAAGGAGGAATCGTGTAGGTTTTTTGTGTAGGGAACAGCAATTCTCTGGGAGTCACGAGAGGTGTGGTTGTCACCGCCTTCTGCGACGTCGTTTTGGGCAGCTGGTGGTGCGTCTGGAGCGCTAGGTTCCTTGGAAGGAGGAGGAGGTCCCATGGGAGTCTTCATTGTAGAATCTGCTGAAGGAACTGAAGAAGAAGAAGAAGAAGAAGAAGAAGTTTGGTCCGGGGTTTCGAGAGGGTTGGGGGTTCTCGGAGGAGGAGGACCCATGGCGGTCGTCATCGTAACGCACCAAGAGAGACAGTGAGGAGAGGGAGAAGCTTCACAACAGCTATATTTATACAAAACAGATCCGATGAGCCGTCGATCGACGATGGGAGGCGGCAAATCTAGTGGATCGGGCCTAACCGGCCGAAAATACAACTTTTTTTCGGAATATAGAAGTAAATGACTATTTTTTAAGGATTTTTTTAGAAAAATGGAGGAAGTTTTGTAAAATTAGAGAAATGGTTTTTTTTTTTTTTATTAATTTAGTGATCTGATTAATTTAGAATTTGTTTAGAATGTATATTCAAATCATAATTTTTAATTTTGACGTTTAAAATTTAAATTTTTTGTAATAAAAAAATACTGTGACATAATTAATTATTTGAGTTTAAATATATTAAATAAATTAGCCTTTAGTGGTCCATCACTGATTAATTCGATGATATTTCATTGTGAATCAAAATTAATTAATAATTAACTAAAATTAATTAGTAATTAATTAATTTTAATCAACAAATTTATGTTTGTTAATGATAAATCAATGGTAAAATATAAAATGAATCGGTGATTGATTATTGTTCAATCACTGATTTAACTATTAAAAAACAAAAAGCCATTTTGTTAAGATAAAAAAAAATTTAGCCATTTATTTAAAAAATAAAAAGTTCGGCCATGTTGGTCAAAAAACAACCATTTAAATGATTTTCTCTTTTCTTGGATGGACGAAAATACGTCATCTTGATTTTTGTTTTAATTTTTTTGGCTTCACACCAGCACCATATAAAAATATATATGGGTATATCAGAAAATAGTTGGAGTATCATCTATACAAATATTAAATTAATGTGTTAATGTTATAAAAAAAATGACGTGTCAATGTCAAATTATAATATTTAAATGAAAATGACACTTAAATTTTAACCAAAAAAATAGTTTAATGGTAATGATAAATTTGACATTTGATTGTGTTTTTCACATGTTAACCTTTTGATTTAATTATTACATATTGTTATTTGAAAATTAATTTAGTATTTAAAAGTTTACTTCATGTACCATTTAAAAAAAAGTTTACTTCATGTATAAAAAAGAAAAGTTTACTTCACCAATAAAAGTATATATGACATTTAAAAGAATATTAATGTATTAGAGCGCAATATATAATTAGATAATTTACACGAATTAGCCGTTCTCTTTAATGTATGATACTTCGATCAATTTTATTTTAATTTTAAGAAAACGAACCCTCAACTATCAAATCGATTAAATTGAGGGAAGGAGGGCTTTGCGGCAAAAAGTACACCAATGTTACTGGCTTAGCTTGTATACACTATACATGATTTGAGGCTTCATATACAAAAATAGTAAAAAATAGGCCAATACGAAAAGTTTAAGAAAGTATATAGGTCAATTTTTAATTATAGAAATTAATAGGCCATAACTTGTTAAGTTATGGTTCATAACTAGATAAGTTATAGATAAACTTATCAAGTTATGGTTCATAGCCAGACAAATTATGAACAAAAACCGTGAATTATGGACAATAACTTGTCAAGTTATGGTTCATAATCAGATAAGTTATGGACAAAAACAATAATTTGACATATTTATTAACTTATGTAAACTATTGGTCTATTGATTTTAATTCATCTCAAATCTTGATTTTTTTTTTTTAAGATAATTTATTTCCCTCTTTCTCCCTATACACTGTACATGATTCAAGGCTTCGCCAAAATTATAAACAAGCCTATTTAGATAAGGATATAGATAATATTTTTTAAGCCATGTGGGACTCAGTTTGTTAAATCTACTATTGCATTTTGTTTCCCTTAGGCCCTTTTAAATATAGTAATATGGTTGATTACTTTTATTTTCCTATTCGATGTGGACTCGATTATGATTTTTTATTTATTTAAAAAAACACTTGGAGTAACATGATTCAAATTATACAATTTATAGTAGGTTAGGTGTAGAGTTGCTATTAAATTATAATTGCAGCCACCAATTAATTGTTATTTTCATTTGCATATTTTTTGTTTATTCACATAAACTTTGAAAGATCTTTTTTTTTATATGTTTGAATTAGGTTTTCTCTTTTTTTTTTTTTTTTTTTTAGTTTCCATTCCAAATTCACATCTATAAGTTATCTTATTTCTAAAATTACAAGTACAAAAAAAATCCTAATATAATAGGAATTCTCGTGAAGCGCAAAGATCATGAATAACGTGATAATATAATAATAAAAAGAAAATAATAAAAGTTAAAACTAAATATTAAACAGTTGATGTATGATTTTTTTTTTTAATTTCTAAATTCTTCAAAATATTTTGTAAAAGAAGTACAAAAAAATCAAGCGTACGTATAGTAGTTATTCTTTTTGTTATAACTTACTGAACGGTTGCCTGGTAGCAAATTCTCATCCCTCTTATGTGCAAACTTGTTTGCAACAACAGGCACCATCTCGTATATTCACGTCTAGATGTTCAAATAAATATAAATGTTAGGATTAGTTTGACGTAATCTTTCATTTCATAAAGTTAACAAATTTATTATAAAAAGAAAAAACAAACGTGAAATGTAATTCTACTATACAGTAGAATTAATCCACTGCACGATAGAGATACTTAGAGCCCGTTTAGTTCGCTGATTCGAGTTTTTAATTCGAGTTGAGATGTGACTTTATGTGAAAGCGTTTTACTGTAACAAAAAAGTTAAATGTGACTGTTTCTGAGAGTTTTTTTACTGTAGCAAAACTCGAATTCTAAATTCAAATCAGTGAAATGAACGAGACATTAAGGGCCCGTTTAATTCGCTGATTCGAGTTTTTAATTCGAGTTGAGATGTGATTTTATGTGAGCTTTTTACTGTAGCAAAAAAGTTAGATGTGATTGTTTATGAGAGCTTTTTACTATAACAAAACTCGAATTCTAAACTCGAATTAGCGAAATGAACGGGGCCTAAATTATACCTCTAATGCACGGTAGAGATGCTCTACCGCGCAGTAGAAATAACAGATATGTATATCTAGTTACAGTCCAATGCTAAATCTGAATATTTACCTGGAATGCATGCACAAAACCGTTGAATACCATGGACTTATTTTTCTGTTGCTCCTCTGCTTTGCCTTTTAGTTATTCCTAAGGGAACTTGTGGTTTTTTTATAAGTTTGGAGTCCCCAGTCTTAATTGTCAAATAAGAAGATATCGTTAACCATTTTGTCAATGTGACTTTTAGGTTCTGGCCTCAATAACACGTCGTTAAGAAACAAAAGAAGAGATCTTTGTCCTGTCATCGTCTTCGATAGGCTCCATTCCCTTAAGCATTTTTTCAGGATCAACAACAGATACATTATCGATTGCGTTGAAATGTTTGTGTTTTAGATGGGTGTTCTTTTTTGCTCTCTCTAATTTCTCATCGGCTTTCACCGGAGCGAAGTTAAGTCCTGTGATCATAGCATATTCCTCCATAGAAAACCGCATCGGTGTTCCTTGTGCCTTCATCCACATCTTGTAATCCTTTTTTACTTTAATTTGCCAAAGAATAAAGTACAACAGAAGTTGGCTTGAATGTTGTAGTGATTAGGAACATCGAGGAGAAGGCCAAATTGGGTCTCCCGAAAACGCTTAAGTTCTTTCCCATTGAGATTCTCCTTGACAGTTTTACAATAATCCTCTAATCTAGATCTTATGCTGATTTGCACGAGAAATGTTCCTCTTTCGCTAAAATCAATTTCAACGATTCAATATCTTCTACCTGCAAACAAAATTGAGAAAAAAAAAAAACAAGGTTAGTAAACATGCAAAACTCTTAAATTTAAAACATAACTACATTTTGAGAAAACATCATATTACCTGAATGAAAATCGGATCATCTATCGGCTCTAATGCTGGTTGGAGTGATGGCTCGGTTGGAATCACGGTCTGTGAATGAAAAAATTTACTTTAATAACCCCAAAAGCTCAAACTTAAGTCTAGCTCAAGTATTGTAAAAACAATTAATCTCAACTGTAAAAAAGTAGAGCTCAAGCTCAAGTGTAAAATAGTAGAGCTCGTTGAAAAACGGTAGAGAACAAACTAAACATGCTTAATGGAGCAAATTTCTATACGAAAAAATACCTCACTCGCCACCTCCCCTTTTTCCTTTGTTGTTTGCCACTGTGTTTCCTCCATTGAGAATTGAAAAGCTCCCATCAGTAGCGTTTCATCATGCCTCAATTGAGCCTGTTGACGGTGAAATTTCGTCAATAGAAATACGCCGGATCACCCTCTGGTATCCCGTGAGGTTACCGGCTAAAAATTAGCTGTATATTTGAAATTATGCTATGAAGTGTTTATTATATTTTTGGAAGCATGAGAATAATGCTTGAATGAGAGGACACCCGAAATTTATAGTGGTTCACTCTGTTAATGAAGAGCTACATCCACTTGTGTATTATATTACCTTTGGGCTCTTTTTGGATTACATAAAATCAGCTCTCTATTCTCTGATTACAAATGAAAAATAGCCAAAAATCCTCTCCTATTTCATTCGGGGCCTTGCCCCTTTTATAGAGATTACTTCATGGGTGATTTTTCTTGGTAGGCTCATCCACTTGAGTGGCCTACTATCCTATGAGCCCAGACCCATAGCCTGTCACCACCATTTTCACTGTTCACTCATCTAATTTGTCCCCTATTACGGCTATGCACATCCCCCTTTAATCATCCACCGTCCATTAAAGGGTGGTTTATGGGCTTGTAATTAATGCCTGCATTACTGACATTCTTCAAACCTAAACATAACTCCTTTGTCCACTCAAGGGCCTTTCTGGAGATGTGAACCCATGTTTATACGGTCGGCTTCCTATGAGGTCTCTCCTCCTTAGAAGGGTTGGCCGTCTGGAGGCCTCTCCTCCTTAGAAGGGTCGGCCGTCTAGAGGCCTCTCCTCCTTGGAAGGCTCGGACGTCTGAATGCATCTCCTCCTTAGAAGGGTCGGCCTCATGGATGCCCCTTGGGGCTCTTAGCAGGTTTAAGAACCTTCTTCATGGAGGCCTCTCCTCCTTGTAGGGGCCGGCCTTGTGGATGCCCCTTGGGGCTCTTGGCAGGTTTAAGAACCTTCTATATGGGGGCCTCTCCTCCTTGGAGGGGTCGGCCTCCTAGATGGATGCCCCT